CCCCCCCCCCCCCCCCCCCCCCCCCCCCCCCCCCCCCCCCCCCCCCCCCCNCCCCCCCCCCGCTCCGCTCTCCAGAATGTTATTCGTCACATGGTGCAGAGCAAGCCCTGTCGTCGGCACGGCTGCAGCGAGTGTCGAAAACGGTTTGTCCAGCGCTCACGACTTGGCGGTGGTGTCTATATCGGGAGAAGAATCTCGGAAAGTTCTTGTGGCGTCTAGAATGGAATAATCCCTCAAAGTCGTGCCGCGGTAGCCGACTCTGTCATGAACCGCTGGTACTGTTTTCGATCATGTCGTAGGCATTCCTTCGTTAACAGATAGTCTCAACTCAACAAGTCGCAAAGGGGCTCCTATCTTGTTACCCTGGGGCTTGGCCGCAGCCACGCGGATTGGGTTCGAGAGGGAAGGTGGCCTCTCATCCCTACCCCCGACTTGATGAGTCTTGGGTCGCCCGGCAAGAATTTCTTTCTCACCGAAAGCCAGGAAACAGAGTCGTGTAGAGTGCCTGCTTCGCACGCGATGATCCGCGTTCTGCTCGGTGTGATGGTCGTGTATTTTGTTCTTTGCTGTACGATCACACAAGCACACACCCTCGATGCCCTTGCAATGGGGGGGGCGTCGCCGCCAGCGTAGGACGACCATTTCTTCTGAAGTTGGCCCATCTCACGGCCGCTTGTCGAGTGGTTCCAGCTTGGATTCACGACTCTCTTCGCGGGCACGCTTTCCAAACGTTTGTGCGCTTGAAGGGGCTCATTACCCCGATGGCGAGGGAGCGGGATCAAGAACAGGGATCCGGTTCCATCCCGCGGAGTCCCTTCCCGTTCGCCGGGGTATTTGCCCCCTCGTTGGTGGTATGCCACTTCTCCCTAAGGCCAAGTCAGCGCAGACGTTGTGAGATTTCGATCGGAGTGTGATTGCCGCCCAGCACCTGCCCGCGTGCTCTTTGTTTGTTGCGACTCGACGGCATTAGCCATGTGCGACCTTTTGTTAACGCAGCTATGTCAGTGTTCTCCGTTAGGAGTCTAAGGGGGGCAAACGTGTCTGCAGAAGATGAAGTCACCGTACGGGGAAAAACTGGTGATCCGCGCATTCCTGTCAAGTCTAGTCTTCCAACGGGGATCATGAATACAGCGGTTAGCACCCCGGCCGTGAAGAACTTGGCAATCAAGAAATTGATGCGGCTTCGAAAAACTCAAGACCTCAGAACTTGAGGTCGTTATTTGGGAGCTCGGTTAAGAACCCCTACACTAAATGAAACCTATATAACGGAGAACCTGAGGTCCATTTCGTGAGCTCGGTTAAGAACCTCTAAACTAAAACATTTATCGCGGCCTCTTGTACCAGGAAACGAAGAACCCCAGCCTTGGCGAAAACTAGAGGTTCTTGAGTTCGGGCGCATGTCACGACCTTAGAAATTCCGAACGAGGTCTTGTATGCATATTTGTGGAACGCCTGATTGAGCAGTGAGTGGCCAATGGGAGGTTTGTGGTGGGACGTTTTTGCTGCGGCTTTTCAGCACAGGCTCTGTACCGTCCGTGTTGGGCGCTGGAACGATTCCTCCTTTCCGTGGTAGTTGTTGTGCCTCACTTGATTCATCGCTGACAGCTTTTTCGCCGGGCTCCAATGCGTCGTCCGTCTGATGTAACAAAAAATGTGCCCTGCTGCCCTTTGTGTTACTTCAGGAGCAGGCGCAAGGGAACATGGTATATATTTAAATCAACGCTCACAGCCTCTCTGTGGGGCTCCACCACTCCTTGGTCCGCTCGGTGTATTAAAAAACTTGCCCTGCTGCCTTCTGCTTTGCTCCAGGAGCAGCCGCAAGAGAAAACGAAGTTTACCTTGAAGTCAGTGCTCACAGCTGTTCTGCCTGGCTCCACTCCTTGGTCCGTTCCGTGTATTAAAAAACGTGCCCTGTTGCCTTCTGTTTTGCTCCAGGAGCAGCCGCAAGAGCAGGCGCAGGTCCCGGTCTTCCGAGAAGTCCCGCCGCGGTAGCCGCAGCAGCCGGCGTGAGGACAGCAGGGAGAGGCGGGGTAGCCGCAGGAGCCGGAGTCGGAGCGGTAGCGGCAGCGACCACGGGTGAGAGAGACTTCTGCTGCCTGCTGCTCTGTCGTTGTCCGGAGAGACCCTTGTCTTTCTGTTGGCTCTTTTTGTGTCGTCGGCAGCAGTGGCCACGCGGACACGTCTGTCCACCCCTGTTGTCCCTAGCCGTTCCGAACTGGCTCCGCGGCAAAGCGAGAGCTAGCGGACGGGCTAGTGCCGCCCGACACGCCTACCCACCCCTGTTGTCCCTAGCCGTTCCGAAGCTGACTCTGTCCCACAGCGAGAGCGAGCGAACGAGCTATTATAGTGCCTCTCAGCACGCCGACCTTAGCCAAATGTCGAGTCGTTCCGAAGCTGAGTCGTTCCGAAGCTGACTCTGGCTCTGGTCGGTAGAGCTAGCGAACCGACGGGCTAGTGCCACCCAGCACGCGGACCCGACCTCACCTGTTGACTCTAGTCGTTCCGAAGCTGCCTCTGTCGCAAAGCTCTGCCAGCGTGAGCGAGCGAGCAGACTCGCTATTATTGTTGTGCCGCCGGAGACGACTAGCTAACTATTGCCTAGTCGGTCCGAACCTGGCTCTGTCGTAAAGATTCGTCGTGAGCGGTCGAGCGAGCGAACGGACTAGTGCCGCCGACAAGGCTAGAGTTCCCCACGCGCGGTGTTCATTTCCTCGTCACCGAGACGACGACCCTCCCTAACGGTCGGTCCGTCAGTCAATCTTGCAATTGCTTCGGGAGACGAGCCAGCCTGATTCAGAGGAGGCAGAGACGGCCTCTCGCCCTCTCCTGCAGAACAAGCAAAGCAAGCGGTCTCCCTTGAACTTCTCATCGGCACCCCCAGTCGATTGCGGAGCCAGCCCTTCCGTCTGTCTTGCCCGGCCCGTTGCCCCCCCGGATGTGGCCGTGATGCCTGTGCCGCTCGGCATGGACTGGCACGCAGCCACCCTCTATCCCAAGACCCCACACACATCCTGCTTCACTGAGTTGTCTTGTGTGTCACGTCTCTCGCGCCATACTACCGCCCTCCCTCGATCGATGCGGGTGTGTCGCGTCGCCCGTAGTAGTTATTAGTCCCAGGCTGCAAGAGGTACAGAAGTCAGTCCTGCACTCCGATATTTGCGGCAGCAGCAACCCGCACACAGCCTTTGTGGCAAATACTCCTCCGGTCACAGCGGGAGCTGCTCGTGCGGCTGCGTCCTCTCCGAAGCCAGTGATCGTGTTGTACGGAAAGGGTGATCGTGTACCGACTGATAGGCGGAACGAGAGGTTTGTTTGAGGGGACGGCCGCCCGGTGGTTGGAAAGCGTGGACCGCGGTTAGATCTTTCAGCAATTTTAATTCTGGGATTGAACTCTGGTGTACGCATCCCAATTTATCGTAGTGTTGCAAGTCGCACGCGAGAAGCGGGGGTCTTGTGGAGAGCTGCGGGCGTGCCTCGCTTGGTCACGAATTTTCTGTTCTTTTGTTCATCCGGTCAAGTGAGAATGGCGAAAAGAAGCCTTTCAAAGCTGTTAACACCTTTCGCCCATGATCACTCACTCCCGCGTGTCATATTTTTGTCACGCTAAATTGATTCTCTACACGGGTCATGCTGCGTTAGGAGAACCACCATACTTCCGTCCCAACTTTGCTCTAGGAGACCACTTTACCACTTCGACACGATTTCTGCTGTGAGTTCTAACTTGTATCGGTCTATTGCTGCTCCAGCTGAGGTTCACCCATCACCACCCTCTCTTGCTTGGCACCCCGATCCCGTTGTCAGACGTGGCCGCAGCCGTAGCAGGAGCCAAGACAGGTCTGCTGCCCCCAAGTCTGTGACTGATGCCGGGCTAGGTGGGTTCGTGTGTTCAGTGGTGTGCGTTCGAAGCGAATGCGTTTTGAGTTGGCGTGCGAGGTGGGCTCGTGTGTTGCGTGTGCGTGTTGCATCAAGAGACCCCGCGTCTTACTGTCCTTGTGGAGGATCATGAGAGTGAACTAAACCCCTCGTGATTCTTTTGCGTTAAGCCTCCCTCCCCCCCCCGGTGTTTGCCATCGGGATTGGGTTTTCGTCGCCTGGCAACGACGTTGTAAAACAAGCCAATTCACTTCGTGAACTCGGCAACCAGGTTACCGTTTTTTTTTTT